GGTGGGTGTCGTGGACTGGCTGGATGCAGGAAGAGTGGTGGGAGGCACCAGCCGACGAACCCCCCTAGGGAACCCCCAGGGGAAGAAGACTCAGAACCAGGGGATTGGAGGTGGGATGACGACAAGTGGTCAGAAGGAGAAGGAGTAGATTGGGAGGAGGAAGTGTCAGAAGCAGAAGAGGTGACAGGGTTTATTGAGCAAGAAGAGGCTGCGGCAGAGCACAGTTCAGACTCTGAGGCAGAAGTGGGGCTGGAGAGGAATCTGCTGAAAAAGCCAGGGAGTGAGTCTCCTCCTCTTGTTGCACAGTTTTTGCAACTGAGTCATCAGGGCAAGACCTCCAAAGAGAGTTACTGAGACCACTAGGCCTGAGCTGTGGTTTGTTTCCTTCAATAAATATTTGACTTCACTGGCCTCAAGTGGTTCGTTGTTTTTGCTGCTGAGTCCAACCCTGACAGTGGAGGGAAGATGGAGAGAAGTTCACTTAGGGATACTATTCCCCATTGTTGCTGCAAAAGTGAAAGGGTGAATCCACACCTGCCATGAAGTGCAGGTGACCTACAATGCATCTGATGGGTTCACACAAGAGTATCTATCAAGACCAGTTCTTGGAAAACCTGTATGGAAAATAGTGACGTGAAAGTATCAAATGTCCATGGTGCTGCTGCCCGGAGCTGATGGGAGTTCTAGTCTAAAACATCTGGAGGGCACTAGGTTGGGGTAGGCCAATTGGTTTGGAAAAAGGCAACCTTGACAGATTGATGTGAAAACTCTTCTGCTTTATAGACCAAAGTAGGGCACTGTCTCAAAGCTGCTGACCAACAAATACTGTAAAACTGTCGCAATGAATCCCACGATAAATGCAGTAAAACAGACAATGTCATCAATAGCCCAATAAAACACACATTGACAAAAGCTATCCACAGCACCCTCAGCAACACAAGTGAAAGTTTAAAAAAGCTTCTTAAGAGCTTCAAACAATCAACAAGGAGGCAAACTTTCCAGGCTTCGTTGGGGAGTAAGTTCTTCCATTAAAAAGGGGGGCAAATATGAAGACTATGTTTCTTGTAGGCATTGAACTCTGTATTGAAAACAGTAGCACTTTGATTATCTCCTCTGAAGATCTTTCAGCACATGGCAGAAGGTAACACTTGGCATACAAGATGATGGCATACCATCATCATCATCATTAATTAAATTTTTATACTGCCCTTCATCCAAGAATAACAGGGCAGCTCACAACATAAAAATACAAAATGAGAACATGAAATACATAATAGGAAAAAAACAAACCAATCATCCCCTTCCCACCATAGGATGTCTAGGCCACCAAAGATCAAAACAAATATTTTGAGCTGAATGCATCCAAGTTACAGCCATAATGTGAATGGACACCACAAAGGAGGAGGTCTGTGGAAGCAGTTTTCCTAAGGGTGAGAGCGTAGTGTAGCCTGCCTGATCATTTCAACCCAGGCAGTATATTTCTGTGTTAAAACTCCTTTGAATCTGAATATGTATGAGCATCATTTTGGGTACCCAGGTTGACTGATGTCTGGCTTGTACTAGCCCAAAGCCCCATGTCTGATGTGCATCAAGTCAGATGAGTATTGGACCCAGGGGAACCATACTGTGTCACATGCCTGGTCCACATCTGTCTGCTCGGCAAACACGGTAAACTGCAGAGTGAACACCTAGAGAGTAGTCAGGAGCAATATTGGCATGGATCCATCCTGCACCATGCCATGCCTGCTTAAATAGAGACTATTCGTCATGCTCCAATTTCTGATGCTTCAGGAGGCGTGTTGGCACAGCAAAGGTGTGAGTACAGCCTCACACCTGAGGCTGCCATCTTCTACTCACATTTTATTTGGAAGCTCCTCAGCTGAACTCAATAGGACTAAAAAACCCAACACCCACAGTTACTCATTTGAACATTGTAACCTCACATGCATTTCTTTGTGGCAGGTGCCCCATTCTTACTAGTACATCACATCAGCTGATACATTGGGTTGCATTTTTTACAGCAGTAAGCAGTCACCATTTTCTCTTAACTGATGCTGAGCATGGACTCAGAGTGGTCTGCTTGCCTGGTGTCTGTACCACATATGAATGAATGAATGAATGAATGAATGAATGAATCTTTATTTGCATCAGCCATCGGCCATAGCAACAAAACAGCAATGCAATATACAAAGAACAGAAATAAAAAGTCGATTATATAAAACACACTTTAGGGTCCTGAATCAGCAGTCAAATAGTGGACCTTATTCTGATTGCCCCAGCTAAAAACCCTGCAACCTTTGCTGTCATCGGCTCCTCTTGATCTGCCAAGAGAAAGGATACTGTGGCAGTGGTTGGGCAACCTGGAATGGACAATAAGAAAGGGGTGATAATCTCCTTCCTCAAGTCTTCATAAAGAGTGCAAGTCAGAAGGGCATGTGCCACTGATTCGGTACCACATACATAGCTCAGGGTCCTGGAAGAACAGTATGAAGGAACAACTGGGACCTACAACAAAATTTTGCAGTGTCTATTCACTTCCTGTTACAGGAAGAACACTCCCATTCAGACTGCCTGCTGACCAAGCTGTCCTTGTATTGCATTTCATCCTTTAACTTTCCATTTTTTGGTTTTGAGCTGACACATTTCATGGCTTCTGACCCTGCTCAGTTCTCAGGGGTGTTTGTTTGGTTTTTGTTTTTAGGTGTTGCCCCTTAGATTATTTTTATGTTACACTTTGGAAACCTATTCTCAATCTGCATATCTGTTAATAAACTAAAAGTATTTCCAAACACTTTGCATCTCCAGAGATCCCACTTTTGGGGAATAGCCAAATGCAGGCAAGCAATTGACTCCTGCAACTTGCCACCACCATAGGAAGTGGGACACATGCATAACAATACATTCTACCATGCGTAGTACATGCATCTTACAGTGCAATCCTATCTGCATGTATGCTTGGAAGTCTCATTGAGTTCATAATGCATAGGATTGCAACCTTAGTCATTTAAATGCAACGGAGTGTTTTGCATTGCCTGAACATGGCCTCCTAACGATAGATTTCACACTTAAATTCCAAACACTATAGGCATACACAGGGTGATGTTATCGGCTAGCCACACTCCAATACATGTGTGCCATTTTCAATCTCTCTCCAATAGGACTACTGTGGGGGGGGTAGCAGCAAAGCAACACCACTAGGGGGCATGAATGCTTTATTTCAACAACTCCACAAAGGGTTTGAGTCAGGTAAACAGTCTATAGCCACTTGAACTTGTTAGCAAAGATTGAGGTCTGCGTCGGCAGAGCTAGAAAAGGAGCAGAGAGTTAGCCAGCAGCACAAAAGTTTATCTATATTCTGCAGAGTGCTTCATTGAGTAATAAAGTCACCTTTCTCCGAAACCTTTTGCCCAAGAGTGAACTCCATCCTTCACAGCCTGTTTAAAAGAGTCTTATAGAGTGTCTGCATGAATAATATGTGAGCAGCACATGATTATAAAACTTTTAAAGAGGCAAGACTCAAAGGGAAATGGGAGAGGCAGAGAGGAGGCAGGAAAGATAAATGGGGAGGAAGGGGGGGAGCGGAGGACCAAAAACAAGTCTCACTGCTAAATCATAAAGAGACTTGGTGAGCAGGGAGAGGGTGGTGCTGCTTCTCATAGCGCAGCCATGCAGGCTGCGAGGAAATGATGCTCAAGGAAGCACAGAGAGAGCAGAAGCATTGTTTTAATTTTAAAAGGAGCAAATGGCACATTTTATCTGATTTCACAAGACTGTCTATACCAGCACATTTCTTCCTTTCACTGTGTAATTAAAATCTAAATGTTATCTTAAAGCCTTCCTTTCTAGGAAGACAGCACTGGGAAGGGTTCATCCATACCATGACAACAGTAAATGACTAGAAACAAAGCCTATTAAGATATATATTTAGATCCTTTGCAGATAAAAGGCACAGAAGTACTGGGCGAACTCCTAGGAGTATTTAGGGTGCAAAGAGGCACCAGGAGAAGATGCAGAGCAGCAACACACTCGTCTTGTGCTTCCAGTGTGAAAAGCGAAGGGCAAAACTCAAGCATCTTCTTTGATGTGTGAGTTCCAAAAGTGTACAAAGGAATATGATGCACATAGGGGAGCTGCATGATGCTCCCACCTAACCTTAAAACAGGAAGTACATCCTTTGAACATCCATCCATCCTACCCTGCCATTGCTCTTAATGTTTTAGGGAAAGCATGAGCAATCTGTGATTTACCAGTTGAAAATATTTTTGGTGTGGTCATGATTTAATTTTCTTTCTTTTTTTTAAAGAGTTGAAGGCCATAACTTGCCCATTCCTTCTTTAGTGGAACCTATGCGTTTCAGTTAACTCTAGGAAAGGGTTACCAAGTCCATGGCCTTGGTATTTTTTCTGGCTTCACACCATTTTAAAAGCTTTGTTTCTCCAAAGCTTATGAGATTCTTGCCTTGTCTCCGACAGCAAATCGTGAGAGCCTTGTGGCTATATCGTCTACATACAAAGGTATCTAGAAAATCCAGCTAAACTGTTGCGGATTTCCCTTTTGTTGGCTGTTGACCAAAGACTGAACTTTACAGAGAGCTATGAGGGAGAATCTGCTTAACAGCCTCCCATACATCTGATTTGTGCCAGGCATGAAGGGCGAAGAAGTGTAAGAGCACTATGATCTGGAAAGCACAAGCCTTTTTTTGCAAGCTGAAGCTGAAGTTCATGTTGAAGGAATCACCTAATATCACTTATCCCCTAGTGCTTTAATAGAAATTGATCTGAAAATTGCAGACACAAGATGGATGCCTCAGGGTAAGAAACCTGCCAAGTTGCAGACAGGTCCAAGGGCTTTTGTGCTGTGCTTTCAGCAGTTGAGCTAGAATGAATGGCTTTGTCTTTTGCAAACTGAGGAACTTCTCTGGATTCCATAGAATTCATAGAACTGTAGAGTGGGAAGGGCCATGAGGGTCACTTAGTCTAACTCCTTGCAATGCAGGAATCTTTCACCCAATGTGGGGCTCAAACCCACGACCCTGGAATTAAGAGTCTCATGCTCTGCCGACTGAGGTAATGAGAAGTTTCAGATCTTTTTTCACCAAGCAACACTCTTCTGCTAAGTTGAAAACAGCCATTTGCTGAAAGGAAGAGGTCTCCTCCTAGCATCATTGGATCCACCAAAAATAGTAGGAATATTTTTATCTTATGGAAGTTTTGGAGGATATGATGTCTTATACATTTGGAATTTAAATTTTTGTTTATTGTAATATGCACTAAGGCTTCAGTGTTGTACAGAGACATGGAACGATGCAGACTGATCAAAGAGGAAAGATGAATTCCTTCAGAATTGTATACAGGAAATAAGGGGAAAGGTAGCATTAGGCAGCAATGGATCTCCTCATCCCATTAAAAGTAATGGCAGAAATTCCATCCATTTTCAATTTATGAGGATTGCACCCATTCCTGTTGCAAGGCTGAAATCGGAATCAAAAATAAACAAACATTTAAAATATAATCAGTAAACCCCCATGGCTGAGAGAACGGAAAAGTAGGAAGCAGTGTGAAAGTGCTTAGGAAGAAGGACACCTGTGACTAAGATATAATGCTATTTTTCATTTCATTTATCGGCAGCTAAAAAGACACAGTTTAAAATAGCTGAGTGGTTGCCTTTGTGCTAATATAATTTAGCACTCTGGTTTGAGTGACAGCTCTGATTCATCAAGGTAGCAAGATCTGTCCTGGTTCAGATAGCTCTTCTTCATGTGGAAGACAGCAAAGTGACTGGAGATTAAGAATCGCCTTGTGGAGTGGGGGTGGGGGGAACTCCTGTGTCAGACCTCCCCCTACTGGCCATAAAGCATAAGAGGAAAAACATGCTTTGCAGTTTGTGCAACCACTTGGAAATCACCTCATAAGAATAAAGATTCCTGGGTCCCTTTTCAAAACCTGAACACAACTGCAATTAACCACAAAAACTACAATACTGTAAAAAGTGCAAGAGGCTGCCTTTTTCCAATAAGGCTTGAAACACATATTTGTTGTTATAGAAAGTTAGACAGAATTTATGTGAAACCCAGAACAGGTCTTTCAAACGTGAGAAATTGATAATTAAGGCAACAAAAAGTTTGTGAGGCCGTATTCTCAGAGGAAAGTTTTCTCTCACTCAAGCTATGCTGGTAAGTAATGTGGCTGCTAAGATCTCAGGTTTTATTTCAGCACTGAGACCAGGATCATGAACAGGAACAGTATGGGAACTAAACCAGAGAAATTCCCGCATGGCAAAATAAATCTTTACACCCATACATCTCTTGGCACTGGGCCCATTCAAAGTGAGGGGAATCAGAAATATGCAGACTGTCCCCCTCCCACAGTGGAGCTGGCTTTGGGGGCAAGTTTCTAACTCCCACCCTTCCTTTTAAATATAGGGTGGGAGTTTGAAACTTGTCCCCAAAGTCAACCCAACCGTGCATTACAGACAGGGGGTGATCTGTATACTTCTGGTATGAAATGAATTATGCAAATGTGTACCCCTCCCCTGGTTTTCTACAAAGTTTATAGCAATGTTTTGTGCACATAGCAAAAATTGGGTTAAGCAGGGAAATAGCTGGGGGGGGTAGGCAAATGAGGGGAACATGATAAATGCATATAAAATTGTGCCTGATGGGGAGAAAGTGGGTGGGGAGACGGCTTCTGCCAATAGGTGAGCAAGAAGATTGTACCTATGCAAAAGTACTGACTGTACCCAGTGCCCTATCTGAAATGGGCTGCCTTACCTCTATGTACAGCCTTTGAAAGCAAGTGACATGTCGTCTTGGCAGGCACTGCACTAGTATACAGTGGTACCTCGGGTTACAGACGCTTCAGGTTACAGACTCTGCTAATCCAGAAATAGTACCTTGGGTTAAGAACTTAGCTTCAGGATGAGAACAGAAATCATGTGGCGGCAGCGGGAGGCCCCGTTAGCTAAAGTGGTACCTCAGGTTAAGAACAGTTTCAGGTTAAGAACGGACCTCCAGAACGAATTAAGTTCTTAACCCGAGGTACCACTGTACTAACACTGCTCATGCCAGGGGGACAACCTGTTATAAATGAGATGCTGCAAATATATTGCCATAAGGATATGTACCGGTACTCCTCACCTAGCCAGCATCACATTTAAATCAGGACATGGACTCCAGTTGTGTAGTCATGTTCAGAGCAGAGTATTGAACCAGGATGAACATTTCATCTGTAATGTGATAGAACAGAGGCAGGACAGATTTGGAAACTGTTTTGTGGGGAGGGAGAATACTTTTTAAATTCTGGAAGTTATAGAGGATTCTAAGAATAGCTGTAGATTTACTGTGGGTTTTTCTGCATGATTGGTTTCAAACAGGTGTGGGGAGGCTTTCTAAGCCTATGGCTGAATTTCCTCATGGGCAGCCTTCCAGGAGCCAGAGGTGAAAGTGGGTGGAGAAACAAGCCAAAATGGGCAGATTTATTCATTTAGATATCTTACCTGCCCTTTACCACAAGGTCTCAGGGCAGGTTACAACAATAGAACAAGTAAAATAGTGAAAAAACAGTTCACTTCCAGATATAAACACTATTAAGAATAATTCCAGCACAGATGCAGCCCAGGATAAAGTTGCCCACGTAAAAGATCCATTGAGAGAAGAAGGCCTTTAGCAGGTGCCCAAAAAACAACAGAGACGGCACTTTTCTCATAGGCCTTTGGTCAGGGTTCAGACTGACTCATTTTCTCTTTGTATAAAAACAAGCACGAAGGAGGTTTCCCAGCCCGCTCACAGGTCCTTATAATATCAGTGGAAACAGTTGGTCCTGGCGAGTATTAACCGCTTTCAGTTTTAACCTGAGGATTGTCATTTGTTCAGTTTTAATTTTAATTTATTTGAATTAATTTTGGGATGCATTTTAATCGATTGATTGCTTGTTTTTATGCATATTGTATTATTTATATGATGTTAGCCGCCCTGAGCCCATCTCCAGCCAGGGAGGGCGGGGTACAAATAAAAAAATTATTATTATTATTTATGTAACAGAAGCGAATTCCAAAGGGTAGATGCCACTACACTAAAGTGACATGGAACAGCCAGCTTATACAGCTGGCTACTTTCCACCCTCTCAGAAAGTCAGAGGTTTACACACACACACACACACACACACACACACACACACTTTCATTCCTTTTCCATGGGAGCAAGATGAATTATCACAATCCGAGGCAGTCAGAGAAAAACACTTAAGAGGGTGAGAAGCAGATCAGTGAGGGGTGGGGTCTGAGTGGGGCACTGAGTGAAAGGCAGAGCCCTAGAGGGCTGCATTTGCCCCCAAGACTCCTCCTCACCCTTGGTTTAGAAAACCCTTCTTCTCCCTCGTGCCATGATGCTGGAGCAGCCCTGCTACGGCTTGCCACCCTCAAGTATCCAAGATTTCATTGTCGTACCCCACTAATATTTTTCCCCACACCTCACTATAAGGAGCGTCATCCTATGGCTGTATCTCTGCTGCTGGCTGCCCTTCCTACTGTTCACAATTACAAAGTAATCAGAGACCTGCTGCTTTGTAATGCTAACTTCTCTAAGGATGCTTGCTTTGCCTCCGCCCTTGTATCTTCCCCTTGGTTTTAATATATTTTCAAACATAGGCCTATTTAAAATAACAACCCTGCTGAGAGAGAGAGAGAGAGAGAGAATCAACTGACAGAGGCAATTACACCCTAACCCCCACCCCAAAATATTAAGGGAATTGACATATCATAAATCGATCAGCAAGAGACAGAATGGTCAAAGAGGAACTGGGAATAATGAGCACACCTACAAGGTCTGGTAACTACCAAAGTTACCAGAATCCCCACAGTAATGCGGAACACTGTGATAATCTTTGGGCATTGTCACAGAGTTTGCCACACATCATAGCCAGAGGGCTAATTGAGAGTATTGAGATTCTCTCAATTTCAGCTTCTCTCATTTTGGTCATTTGTCCAATCCCAAATTCAGTTCTTCGCATCTCCACAGCAAGTTGCAATTTTTTTTAAAAAAAAAAACATAGCGAAAATTCACCAGCATTTTCTTCCAATAAACACATGGGGATGTGGTTTTGACTGAGATATCCATTTTTGCGATCAGTACATTTACACCAGTTTACACATTTCGGTAAGCATTGGTTTGTCAGAGAAATGCATCGCAAACTTTTGAGAAAAGCGAATAACTGTGTTTCAGTCCGTGAATGTGAATTTGGTAGCTTCTCATTAAAATGTAAACAAAATGGAATTTTTTCTCCATCCCTAACATGACAATCTATGTTCACCACTACAGTGGTACCTCGGGTTAAGCACTTAATTCGTTCTGCATTTGGTCCGTTCTTAACCTGAAACTGTTCTTAACCTGAAGCACCACTTTAGCTAATGGGGCCTCCTGCTGCCGCCATGCCGCCAGAGCACAATTTCTGTTCTCATTCTGAAGCAAAGTTCTTAACCTGAATTTCTGGGTTAGCGGAGTCTGTAACCTGAAGCGTATGTAACCCGAGGTACCACTGTATGGGCAATCGCCAGAACATCCCAAGGATTCTAAAAGCTGATGTCTGAAAACCTTCTAATATTTTATAACCAAAGCAATTACACTTTGAGTAATGGCTATTGTTTTAAACTTATACTTAATGCAGGGAACTGATGTGATCACAGAAACTACCACAGGTTTTCCCACAATGCACTGGGGTGACTAGAAGTGTCCACATGGGGCCCTGAGCCTGTGTGAGCCAGTCTTAATTTTACTACAGAATCCATCGGAATTCATATCCTACAGAGTCACGACAGGAACCAATTGAGTATCCGCAGAATATACTGATTTTGTTGCTCTGTTACTTAAGGCTTAGTACAACATTTTGTGTTTTATCTGTAATGCATGTTGAGCCTTTGTAAAATCTACCCAGCGTGGTCTCTAACTACATTCTGCAAAGCTTTCGACAAATATAGAAAGTTTAATTCAATATTGTCGGTTTCCTGTTTTAACACTGCAATAATTCCAGCTTTATAAATCTCTTTGTTTATCTGTGTGTGCAGAGACAGAGAACCATGATAGA